GAATGGCGGAGTGGAATATGGGGAATGGCGGAGGGGAATACGGGGGAATGGCGGAGTGGAATATGGGGAATGGCGGAGTGGAATACGGAGGAATGGCGGAGTGGAATACGGGAGAATGGCAGAGTAGAGGAATACAGAGGAATGGCTAAGTGGAATACGGAGGAATGGCGGAGTGGAATACGGGAGAATGGCAGAGTAGAGGAATACAGAGGAATGGCTAAGTGGAATATGGGGAATGGCGGAGTGGAATACGGGAGAATGGCAGAGTAGAGGAATACAGAGGAATGGCAGAGTGGAATACGGGGAATGGTGGAGTGGAATACGGGGGAATGGCAGAGTAGAGGAATACAGAAGAATGGCTAAGTGGAATATGGGGAATGGCGGAGTGGAATACGGGAGAATGGCGGAGTGGAATACGGGGAATGGCAGAGTGGAATACGGGGAATGGCGAAGTGGAATACGGGGGAATGGCGGAGGGGAATACGAGGGAATGGTGGAGTGGAAGAATACAGAGGAATGGCGGAGTGGAATACGGGGGATTGCAGGAGAAGAACACGAATGAATAGAGAAGTGGAACACGGGGAAAACAAGAATGAACAATAAGAAAGAACAAGAAGCAAACAAAGAAAACAACGAAACGCGGTACACAGACAACTCGTAGCGACAAGTAGCAACTACTTGTTATTATTACATTACTGTTATTCTACAGCAGCGCAAAATAAACACCGAGCGAGTCTCTCATCTACGAATTTTAGGTCTTCACTACAAGTCTTGTTATCACCTGTGCAGCAACCACACATCAATATTACAGACATCTAATATAAAGATGAGTCAGAGATGCACCCAACCTTTCTGTCACACATTCGCCCACATTTCTGTTTACCTGCCAGTTAATCAGTGACCAATCTTCACCGTTCTCCAATTGCATTTGGATTTGTACTTTCACTAATATAACCATTCATATTGTTATTAGTATCTTGATTCAGATCCCTGCTATGATCGCCAGTTTTCTCCTAATGAGAGGTGCACACTAATATTGTCTCACTATCATCAGCCCACTATCAAGCACTAAACTATGCAGTCATGCCTGCTGACACCACAGGTTTTACAGGCAGTCACTCGATTCTTCTTGGATATAGAGAGATTAGCTCTCGCTGGCCCACACACGAACATCACACACGGGAGGGACCATAACAACCGTTAGTATCACTCCAGAACCCGCGGATTAACCATGGCTTAGCTGCCATGAGTAGAGTGTGGTCTACATAACACGTACATTGCCCATAGATGGTTCTATAGCCATCTGTGTAAGGCCTTTAGTACTCACCAGCTGCTGGTACTGGACCGGCTGGATGGGCTCCTCACTGATGCCTCGCTTTGCGACAAGCTGCTCACTCTCTGCGCGGCCGCGTGGATCGGCTCCGGCTTACTGTTCTTTCCAGCCATTCGCTGACGACATAGGTCCTGCAAGAGTCACGGCAGCGATGTCACACACTAGCGCGTCGTGCTGAGATGCCATCTCAACAGCAGTGGCGTAGCTAGGATTTTTTCAGCGGGTGGGCACTGGGGGGGGGCCTTAACATTTCGTGGGGGGGGCACAAATATATAACTTTTCTTTGTATTATACTGTTCTAACGCATAGATTCTAATAACGTAATAACTCGATTCATCACGGGCGTCATGATCACCGTGTGGCTTGTGTTTATGGCGTTTAATTGTACACCATGCTGCTGTACTGGCCACGCTACTGCAGAGTTCTGGTTATTAATTATGCAGATTCCCCCTGTAGATGGCACTGCATGTTGCCTCATAATCAGCATACACGCGCGAAGGCCTATAAATACACACACATTCCTAACATATATTATTATAAGGCCTTGCACGCGACTGAGGAAAACCGCACGAACAAAACGTTTTTCGCTGATAATCTTTTAGAAGTCCTTATCTAAACCAAATGACAAATGAAACATGAAAGGGAGGGAGCAGACATGTGACAATACAGAGCTGCTTTATCACAAATATAAAATTGCATTAAACTGTATGTTTGCATCTAACGCCCTCATTCATTTTGGTTCACAGTTGAATGCTAGCTTGGTTTCTTTACTCTAGCTTCTCTCACAAACATATTTTATTAATGACAGCCCCCCACCTTGCATCAGTGTGACCAAGGAGTGCTGCAAGTAGCACACTCCCCCCCGCAACACCTGGCAGTCTCTTGTGCTTACGTCCAACCAAGGCGCATGATCGTGATAATAATGAAAGGTAATTGTTACCAAGGTCTAATAGAGCACGCATCGTCTGACGCGTTGTTGAGTAATTATTTAACGAATCATTCAGCAACTGAAGAGGTGCGACTACCTGTGTTCACTGTTGCGCCTTAATTGCAGTGGAGTTTTGAGTATCGCTGTATCCCTGTGCTTGCAGTATTTACCCAGCATGCATTGACATTGAGATGTGTCCATTGCCATTCGTTTTAATTAATGACTCTACTCTTAATGAACAGTGTCATGACACTATATCGCTCACCTGGTGTGAATAGAAGAGGGAGAGATATTTAAAATTTGGTAAGTGTTTTCATTTATGGACGAACCAAAATGTGATCAAATGTCCTTACTCCCTGTTTTATACTAATAGAAATTTCACTGTTTGTTTCAGGGTTAGTTTTGGTGCGAAAATAAATGTTTCAGATGATCTGAAAGTCTAAAAATCTGGGTGAGAGATGGCGCTACGCCTAAATGATCGCCACTTTGGTTTTCGATGTATAACGCGCAAATAATAGCAATAAAATATTCCAATCAAATTACTATAACGAAGATCTAAAACACAATATTACACGTAGTATTTAGGTAGGTAGGTAGGTAAATTTAAGCAAAATCGATGAATCTAGATGGCCATTTTCATTTTTGCCAAAAAGTGAACGTGGTCGAAAGTATAGGTTGACTTTTTTAGGTAATCTGCCTCATTTGCATAATTTTGAAAATATATCAAAACTCGTGTGATAATGTTTTGGGTGATTTGATTTGCCAGTCCTTATTCCTTCACATACCAAAAATGAGCAATATCCGTTGAACCTGAACTGACTTGTGGGCTATTTCCAATTTTTGCCCAAAAATGGGCGTGCCTCGAAAGTAGGTCGACTGGTGTCTTCCAAAATAGATGTTCAATCTCTCCCATAGGAGTAACAACTGTATGCAATTTGAAATATGTGGTCAAATGGTTCTCCAGTTATCGTTGACCGTAGGCCAAATGTTGACCGGACAGACGGACGGACGGTCGTACGACGGACGATGCCCCATGGCAATAGCTCATCTTGACGATGTCAATGTGAGCTAAAAACAGCATGTGTTTGCACCTAACATCTAAATTTGCTCACCTGTCTCTTAATGCTTTATTTGATAATAATCACATTATTGTATGTATAAATTAAAAATTTATTTAAAAATCCCCAATCACTAAGACACTTGATATTGGTTGGCATGACCTAACAGATTGTGGTTCCTTTCCTGTACTGTAACCCAGAACACCAGCTGTTCCTGCCCTCGTGCTGTGACCGTCACGTCAGTGTTACCTGGTAGTCCTGGTGACCTCGGACCTCGATGTTGCTGGTCATGTTCTTCAGCTTCCTCTGGGAGGCGGGTGTGGCGACGCACCAGGTAGATGAAACGACGACAGCAGGATGCATCCCGCTATGCATCCGCACAGCACAAACGTCAGGCACGAAGAAGGCGATTGTCATCAGATCCCTCACCTCAGCTCGTCTGCAACAACGGGTCAATCACGGTCATAGGTGCACGCATCTCTGTATACAACAACTACGCAAACTACATTGTAGTACGCAAGTCGCAAACTACATCAGTTTTGCCAGCAACGTCGCGCCATGGTAAGTTCAACAGAAGAATGCTAATAAGGATCATACACGTACGGGTGGCTTGTGTCAGAAATCCCACTGGTGCATACGAGGTGGAAATTTCAGGAAATAAAACAGAGGGAGATCACATCGAACATGCATTGTTAAACACTAGTTCTGAGATAAGCAACTGTCCCCCTTACGTAGTATTACCAAAGAGCCTATAGTGATCAATAGGTTTCTTTGTATTGACGCAAAAAGTTGTCAACAACGTTGCTGGGTGAATATAAACTGCGGTGCTTGCATGTATAAGAAATCAATAAGGCCAAGAAAATCAATAGTACGGCCGTGCTCTGCTCTCCCCCCTCCCCCTCTCTCTCTCCTCT